GTGTCCGGACACATATAGTGAGAAGAATATTAAAAAGAGACCCACAAAATCCATTACGCTGACGGCAGAAAACAAAGCTGTTTATCATAGTCTCTTTCCAAATGTAAGTAGCGAATGAACTTCATATAAGACGCTTTGACCACGTCAGAATCTTTTCATGCAGCAAAATCTTTTGCAGAACCGGATGGGTATATCCGGACCGTTTGTTCCGTGGGCAGTCCAGCACTGGACGACGTAGCCCACCTCCCTCAGAAACAAACAACCTTTCCCTTTAAACTTTTTGTTTATTAATGCCAAATCCTTGCTTAATAAGATGCCTTTGCTTCAGACTCTGGTGTTCGTCTATTGTCCGGATATTGTTTTAGTAACTTAAACATGGGCATCAGCCTCCGTAGCTGACTCCAAACTCTCGCTTCTAAGCTATAATTGCATTCAAAATGATCGCCAAGATGCCCGTGGTAGGAGCAGCTGCGTCTACGTTAAGCAAACAATTACATTTTGCCGCTTGACCTCCCGCATTTTTCCGGAGTAGACGGCAGCCGCTGGCTCCAGGTTGCACTAAAAAATAGGTTCTCCTTACTCGTTGGCTGCGTCTATCGCCCTCCCAACGCCAACGACAATTTTGATCGTTTACTTTCACAGGTATTTCAGGCTGCGGCCGAATTAAGCTTTAAGTATCAATTGGTTGCGGGTGACTTTAGTTCCCCCGAAGTCTGCTGATCTCCGCCTTCACGTCCCAGAAGGTTCGAAGACTTTCTTGAGGCAGCGGATGTTGGGATGTGGAATCAGGTTGTCAATTTTCCCACCCGAGGCTCAAGTATACTTGACCTAATTTTCTGTAGAGGCTGCATGCCATCGTCAGTGTCATCCCTAGGCCTACTCGAGGGCTCAGACCAAGACATAGTTGTTTCAACGTTGAAATTCGAGACTGACAAAACGTTGTCCCCAATGTATAAATTTTCCTCGATTTCCGATCAACTCGCTCTACCGAATTATTAACACACATTAATTCGTACGACTGAACTGCTTTCTTCCTTAGTTCGGATGCAAATGCTTGTACTGCAAAACTGTACGAATTTTTGAATCCGCTTATTTCTCGTTTTGTCCCCCCGTAAGAGAATTATTAATATGGGGGATGAGGTTTTCTACCCTTAGCCTTTCGTCGAAGATTGCGCAGACTTTATCGTCGATTCCATCTGCAGAACGACGTTTCTGTCCTGCCCTTGATTTGTGATATTTTGGAGCGGGATAAGAGATTGTCTGAAGAAGAACAGCTAGCCGAGGAGGTCCAGTTTACCGAAAAGCATTCGTTAAGTGTCTCGAGACTTTTCTCTAGAAAAATACGAACTCACCGAAAGACGCAGCATCCCATCCTCCGAGACGCTCTCGGAAATCCCATAGTTGATGCGCAGTTAACCGCTGATAGCTTCAATTATTTCCTGCCCAAAACGTTTACTGAAGACTCGACCACTCCACTTC